CAGGGAAATGGCTGCCCCAGGCCAGCACAGTCTGCAATTGCCAGAGCGTCTGGTCTGCCTGTGGAATCTCACGGGGTGGGGTTAGCTCCAGAAAACCTGAGACAGTCAGCGCAAGCCTGTGGCAATGCGAGCAGTGCAGTCTGCCAGCGTCACCTGCACTCTCGTCTGACACAGCCCGAGAGCTCAGCCAGTCGTGCTCTGCTGGGCCCAGCAGCCTGTGTGTGACTTCAGGGGTGGCCAGCCTAAACCTGAGAAGGAGCCAGGATGTACCAATGCACGTCACCAAAGAGCAGCAGTTCTATGTCACCAGCCCTGATCATCTCCCTGCCACAGCTCTCAGCACATCCCACCCCCTGGCAGCCCCACCAGTCAGTGCCTCCTTCTTTTCCTCCTGCTCACTGTGATCATCTCTTTTTCAGTGGGAGAAACTGAAAGGGGGAAGCATGGGTGTGACAGGGTTAGTGGAGGGGGTGGGAAGTGAGGGGGACAGCACCTAGGGCAGAGCTGGAGGTTGAACAGTGAGCACCCTCAGGCCCAGTGAGGATTTGGTACCTATGTAAGGAGCCGCATATTATCTTCTGAAGAGCCACATGTGGCTCTGGAGCCACAGATTGGCCACCCCTGGACTAAAGCATCCATCCTGGACCTGAATCCAGCAAGTGATGGGGAAGCCACCCCGTCCCTTGGCAGTTTATCTCATCCTCCCTGCTAAATAAGTCTGTCCTAGTTCTGGTCGGAATTAGTCTGACTTTAGCTTCCCACCAATGGTTCTTCTTTTGTCTTTTCTCTGTTAGTCAAAAAGCCTTCAGCACTCAGGATTCTCTCTCTGTGACATGTAAGCAAGTTGCCTCTCTTCCTTCTTGAGAAGCAAAACAGCTCTGGCTTGGTCCTTCTCTCTCTGGCAGGCATTTTCACCAGCTCACGAATCAGGTTTGATTTTGTTTTGTTTTCTCCACTCTCAGCAATTATTCAACATCCTTTATGAACACAGACACCAGAACAGCTCGAGAAGTCCAGGTCTCGAGTGGTGTACCCAGAGGGAAAGCTGCCTCCTACCTCCCAATCCAGCAAAGTGTCTGTTGCCACGGCAATGGATTACCTAGGGAGGTGGTGGAATCTCCATTGTTAGAGGTTTATAAGCCCTAGTTTGACGTAGTTAGGGTTGGTTCTGCTTTAAGTAGGGTTTTGGAGTGAGGGGTTCATAAAGCTGCATAGGACCATGCTTTGTACCTGGTGGGATTTCGATACGTTCCCCAGCTCCCTCCTGTCCCTCCACCCCACAGTGTCATCCCAGAGCTGCTGTAAGGCAGAAGAATGCCGATACTGAGGAGTCAGCAATTATTGAGGGTGGGGAGGAGCAGCCTTGGTAGGGTGAACAATACAAGCACGTACACCGGGGACACAGACTGGAGGGTTGAGTCTATGCAGCTGCAAGCCCCTTCCTGATGCCCCTTTGCTCTGTTCCTTTTCAACAGGGCTGGCTGAGGGGTGCCTATCTTGCTGGGGGTCTCCAGCTCTGTTCTCTGCCTGTCCGGGTGCTGATCACAGCTGTCCCCAGCAGGCCCAGCTACCCTGTAAGATGGAGGAGGACGAGCTGCAGGAGAAGGAGTTCTTCTCGTGGGAAGGGTTCAGCGCCTTCTTTGATGCCTGGTGCGAGCGCAGGAAGGTCCTGTTTTTCGTCAAGAACTCGGTCCCGCTCAGCAAATGCAAGTGGGCAACGGCGCCCCCGCAGCCTGACGTGGTGGAAGCCCTCAAGTACAGTTCCGTGCGCCTGGTCTGCAAGGACTTTCGTGGCTCTGGCAAGCTTGATCAGGGGTGAGCACCTATGGAGGGCAGACAGCTGGGCACTGGACAGGACAGGCAGAAGAACTGGGGGAAACATTTGGCATCAGTGCCAAACTGGGCCCGTACCATGGGGATCCTATGCATAGAGTCCTGCAAAACCATGGATATTTTTGCTTAACATTTGTGTATATCTGCACTCCAGATGTGGACACAGATATTCACAGATCATTTTTGTGGCTATGGAAACAAATTTTGAATTTAGGACCTTGCAAATTTGCGGCTATCTGCTTTATATCCACTGGCATCCGCATCCACAGATCATTTTAGTAGAGATGGATACCAATTTTGTATCCATGCAGCGCTCTACTTGTGCATCATGATGTCAGCTGCAGCCCACATTCAGAGCAGGGTCTTTCTGGTTTAGGGCTCGGAGTCCATAGCCTTGCTGTATGAGTGTTAGTAGGGTTATACTCCTCTAGCAGTCAGTGCTTGCCCTGATGTCCCAGGGTGGCAGTAAGGGGCCAAAGAGACTATAGCAGGGACCTGTTTTCTAAAGAGTTTTCCAAAGAGTGGGAAAGTCAGTAGAGGGTGCTGTCCCAGGCAGTCAGTGCTTGGCTGATGTCCCAGGATGGTACCGGGGGCCTTTGCTGTAGGAAGGCAGTCAGTGCTGGTCCCAGTGCCCAGGGCAGCACTAGCAGGCCTGTGTCGCAGGGAGCTGAGCGGCTGATCTAGATGTCAAATTGTATCCTTTCTCACTTGCAATTAAAATGATCCTATGGAGAGTTCCCTTAAGAGTTTGGGTGAGAACTCAGGTGTCCTGGTGAAATTCTAAATTCTAAATATGTCTTCCTACGATCCCCATTTATGTTCTTTGGATGACTCCCCTTCCTGATCTGTGCATTGAGGCAGCAGAGCCTCTACTTTTAAATTGCCCTCATATTCTACCCCAGAGGCAGCTGCATCTCAGTTCCAGGCAAAGAATCCCTGTATAAACAACCTCCACACCTCGGGCATGGGCTCTCTCTCTAGCCTATCCTTGTGTCTCATTGGAGTTGAGAGGCATGTGGCCAAAGGGGCAGGTGAGTGGCTGAAGTCATGCAGTGCACGTTACCATAGTCAGGACTAGGGATGTAAGTGGCCAGTCAACTATCCAATAAGCCTAAGTTTGTCAGATAATCGACTAGTCCCTCGACTAGTTGCTTCCCCCCCACTGCCTCTGTCAGAGAGAGGCAGAAGGGCAGGGAGCAGAAGCAGTGCATCTCCACAGGGCTTTAAAAAGCAGAAGCACAGCGGAGTTAGCTCCCGGGGCCAGGAGCTAACCCTGCTGTGGCTCTCTGGCTTATCGACTAATCGACCAGTCGATGGAAATTCCATCAAGTAATCAATTAGTTGATTAAACTACATTTAATATCCATAGTTAGGAGAGGTTCTCTGAGTCTGTGATGGGGCAAAGCTTACATCCATCAGTGCTGTCAACCTGGCTGAGGTCTGGGCTACCAGGCTCCAAAGCCAAAGGGGGCAGCACCTGCTGCTGCCAGGGACTGGCCCAAATCCCTGCAAGGGGAATGTTGGTGTTGCCTCCCCTGGGGAGCTCCTCCCTGCCACATAGCTTCTGTCAAGCTGTGGCTGACGGTAGTGTTGGGATCATCTCCCTGTCCCATTGTAGAGTGCTTTAATCCCGATTCTAATAATTAATAACAGTCCCCAGTTATCAATGAGTCCTTTCTCCTACAGAATTCACAGTGCTGTGACCAGGAGGGTAATGTTGTTATCTCCGGTGCACAGAGGAGGAAACCAAAGCACAGACGAGCAACAGGACTTGCTGAAGGGCACACACCAGGCAGAGCCCAGTTCTCTTGAGTCCCAGTGCGGAGCTTTGTCCAGTAGGCCACACTGCCTCGCTAAAACTGAGTGTTCTTAGCCAGATAAGGATCTACCCCAGGGGTGGGCAATAATGTTTTTTTTTGGGGGGTGGGGGCAATCCAAGATTTGGTAAGTGGTCAAGGGTCACACTTTTGTGTGGAGGGGCTGCAGGCTCTAGGTTGGATGCAGAAGGGTGCATGGGGTAAAGAACTGGGGTGCAGGAAACAGTGTGGGGTCTGAAAGGGTGTTTGGGTGGGGAAGGAGGTTGTGACCTGGGTCAGGGAATTGGGGTGCAGGAGAGGATTCTGGCCTGGGGGAAGCATGTAGGAGGGGGTACAGGGACTGGAAGGGAGTTGTCACTGGGTGCAGAGGGTTTGGATGGTGATCTGGGGGAGGCTGGGGTGCAGGAGGTGTTGGGGTGCCAGAGGCAGGCACTGACTGGGAGGAATTTATCTAGGTGTCTCCTGGCCAGCAGGTTGCAGCACCCCCAAGGCAGGCTGGGCTCCCTGCCTGCTGCAGCCCCAGCCGGCTTGAAAATACAGGCTGCTCCCTCTTCACGCCTCTCAACTCCTGTGGGGGAAGAGGGTTGCGCTGCCCCAGTCTCTCAGGCGAATCTCTCAGCTCTAGTTGGCTGGCTGTTTCTAGCCAATAGGTGCTGAGAGATTGGCTGAGGTCACTTCTTATTGGCCGGTTGTTTCTGGCCAATCAGAGCTGAGGATTGGGCTGGGGGCGGGGAGATCACGCAAAGCCTACCCCTCCCTGCAGAGCAGAGAGCTGCAGGGGCTGTTTTTTAAACCATAGCAGCTGTATGTGCCTGCAGGTCCTGGCAGGGTGGTCTGTGGGCCGGATCCAGTGGCTTGGTGGGCCGGATCTGGTCTCCAGGCCGTATTTTGCCCAGCCCTAATCTAGCCCCTTTCTTGGCCCTGACCCAGTGCTTCCTTATGGCAGGGAGTTGCCCAAACCTATAGCTCAATGGGTGAGGGGTTTCCTCCTGTCACGCTGCCTATGTCCTGGTTCCTGGGTATGGGCAGAGGTACCCATCTCCTGTCCCTGTTTCAGTTAATGCTGTGGGTCCCTCTGTCCCATCCCTAGAGCTAGCAGATACACAGGTGTTTGCTGGCCAGGCCTCTCTGTCACCCTGGTACCTGTGTTTGCCAGACCTGGGTGAGCACAGGTCCCACTCTGCGAGTGGGCTCTGCTGCCTCCTAATCCACCAGTGTGGTTTGTGTGGAGGTCTCTGTGGTTATGTCTACACTGGTGGCTTCTTGCGCAAGAACATCTTGCACAAGAAAATGTCCTCATTGCCACGTGCGCGCTGTGCTTTTGCGCAAGAGCTCCCATGGCAGTGTAGACGCTCTCTTGTGCAAGAAAGCTCCGATAGCCATTTTAGCCATAGGGCTTTCTTGCGCAAGAAATCCCTGCCAAGTGTCCACACTACCTTCTTGTGCAAGAGCTCCTGCACAAGAGGGCTTACACCTGATAAAAAAAGAGCGTAACTCTTGTGCAAGGAGCCCTCTCTTACCACGCCGTACTGTAAATTTCCTTGCGCAAGAGCGGGTGGGCAGTGTGGACGCTCTGCAGATTCTTGCGCAAGAACAGATGTACTTACACAAGAAGCCGCGAGTGTAGACATAGCCTGTGTGTTCAGCCTGTCTCTCTGCCTGCAGGGAGCAGCAGAAGGGCTGCAGTGCCAACATTGTGCTGAAGATGAGCCCCAAGAAGGACCGGCTGATTGTTACTGAGTGCCAGCTGGCCCACAACCATGCCCTGTGCCCCATCGAGTTTGCCTACTACTTCAAGAAGGGCTATCTGATGGCCAACTCCTGCCTGCCAGTGCGCACCACCAACAAGATCTCCAAGCAGTTTGTGGGTGGGCCAGACGTCCGACGTCTGCTCTCTTACTGCAAGAGCCGTGACCACGGTGTCCTGGATGTTCTGACCGTGCTGGACGGGCTCTTCGCTAGCGATCCCGGTGCCAAGGTCAAGCTGGTTTTCATGGAGGACAAGGTCATTGTGCAGACCATCTTCTTCCTCAGTTCACGCATGATGGCGCTAAGCCGGCGCTTCCCACTCATGCTCTTCTTTGACCGCATGGTGGGGCTGAATGAAGAGTTTGACTTGTACTCAGTGTTGTGCGTGGACGGGGCCTGGCATGGCCGCGCGGTGGCCTATTGCCTGACGCAGCAGGACACGCCCGACCTGCTGCGCTTCATGCTGGCCTCACTGGTGCAGAGCGTACCTGAGGTCAAGCTGCAGGTGCGATGCGTCACACTGGGGATGGAGATTGCCCACTTGGAGGCGGTGAAGGAGCTGCTACCCAATGCCCGTGTGCAGATCTGCCGCTCCCAGGTGTTGGAGATGCTCTTCAGCAAGGCGCAGGAGCTGGGCGCCGCTGAAGACGAGCGCATCTGGCCCCTGCTCTGCCGCCTGGCTGCAGCGAAGTCACCGGCCGCCTACCAGCAGGCGGTTCAGGAGATGAAGGTCATTCTCCCCCAGCCCTTTGTGCGCTACTTCCAGCGCCATTGGCAGCCGCGCAGCGAGATGTGGGTACAATTCTGGGCCTTTGAGACAGCCCGCGATGTCAATGCCTGTGAGCTGCTTAAGCAGCACCAGCGCCGGCTGCTGGCGGCCCTCAGCCCCTCGCCCACTGTGGCGCAGTGTATGTTGGATCTGCTGGCCATGGAGGAAAGCAGCGAGGCCCACGAGCTGGACGAGGGGGAGCTGGCCATGCACTACCGTGCTATCTGCAAGTCGGAGCCGGCTGGCCTGATAGAAGAGGAACTGGGCTTTGTGCGGCAGAGCCACTACCACTTCCAGGAGACGGCCGAAGGCTACCTGCTCCATGACGGCGTGTCCGAGTTCATCATGGACCGGGCCCTTACCTGTTGTTCCTGCTCCATCTATACCTCCAGCCTGCTGCCTTGCCGCCATCTCTTTGCCACACGCCTGCATGCCGGGTTGGCCCTCTTTGACCCTGGTTTGCTGCACAGGAACCGGGCGGCATTGCTGAGCACATGCTAGGGCTGCGGGGGACCCCATTTGCTCTGGTTGCTTACTGTGTAAGTCAGGGACCAGTTGCCCACCTGTGGCTCACGCATCAGGGCAGAAGCCCATTGCCACAGTGGCAGTGCCCTGTATTGATGTCATGCTGGATGGGTTGCCTGGGTGCTGGTCTTTGTTTTCACAAGAAAGAAGGGAAAGTAGCAGGTGGGGACCACAGCAGGCTGAGTCCCCCTTATGGGCCAGGAGCTGCTGACCCATAGTGAGAGCACCTGCAACGTGTGCCAGGTAGGGATCCCGAGGTGGCTGTGTACCTAGGTAAGCTACGTACTATTGGTGAGGGGTGCTCTCTTTTGTCTGAGAACACCCACAGCCACGCCGGGGAGGGACAGCTGTAGGCGGGGTGCCTATCTTGGGCTGTGTCCTGCTGTCGCATAGCTGACAGCACCTGCAACTTGGGAGGGGCAAGGATTCCAAGGTGTCTGTGTGTCTGTCGGGAGCTGAGCACTGCCTGCCTTTAGCTGAGGGAAACCACAGGCTTCTGGCAGGGCCGGGTGGGCAGATGGTGTCAGGTGGAGTGTGACGCTTTGGCGTGTCTGCGCTGGCAGGCTCAGGCAGGCAGATGGTGGCAGGTAGGATGTGACATACTGGGATAGCTATGCTGGCAGGGACAGGGTGGGCAGATGGCACCAGGTGGGATCAGATGGATGTTTGCATTGGCAGCAGTGGGAGAGTGGATGGGGCCAGGCGCCGGGTGGGCAGATGGTGTCAGGTGGAGTGTGACGCTTTGGCGTGTCTGCGCTGGCAGGCTCAGGCAGGCAGATGGTGGCAGGTAGGATGTGACATACTGGGATAGCTATGCTGGCAGGGACAGGGTGGGCAGATGGCACCAGGTGGGATCAGATGGATGTTTGCATTGGCAGCAGTGGGAGAGTGGATGGGGCCAGGCAGGGTGTGATGGCATCAATGGGAGAGTGGATGATGCCAGGCAGGGTGTGATGTGTTGAGGGTGTCTGCTCTGGCAGGAGGGTGGGCAAATGACTCCAGGCAGTGTATGACCCATTGGGGTGTCTGCGCTGGCAGGGGTGGGTCAGTGGATTATACCATATGACATTTTCTTTGTATGGAGAATACCCTTTATCCAATAAACATATTTTCCTTTTGGCTCTTCCTGGCTCTTCACTGTCTTCCCTCATGCTCTGATAGCTCCGTAGTTTCTTTCTGGGCCAAACCTGGTGCTGACCAGCCTGTTGGCCATTGCTACAGTGCCAGGACTCTGTATCAGCTGGTACCAGGCCACCATCCCTCTGCAGCTTCTGACTGTTCTCGCAGTCTCAGCTTTCATTCCTTTTAAACTGTCAGTTTCCGGTGGCATGGTTGTATAGAAAACACCCCGAAGGGCCCAGAGTGTATCCAGTGCTGGGGCATCTTCTCGGGCAGGTGCAGAGCTTGGCTCCACTCAGCTGCGGGAGGTATTAACTCTGCTGCCCAGTGCCGATGCTGATTTCAACGTCAGCCCTGGCAACTGGTTCATGCCATGGGACAATGACAGGGTGATATCTGTGCCTTGTCCTGGCACTGACAGAGGGCACTGCTTTGTCAGCTCCAGGAAGGAGGAGCCAGCAGTGTCCCTAGCATCTTCAGTGCCCCCTGCCGCAGGGGCTGAGCTGGGAGCCACACAGCCCTATACTGGCCCTCTGCAGTTCAGAATTCACATCTCGTGGCTTGGCTTTGTGCTGGCCATGGGCACAGTGGGAGAGGAGCTCCCGCCCAGCATCTTGACCCAGGGTTCCTAGGCAAGAGTGCAGGGACTCCATGAGCTGGGCAAATGGGCAGTGTAGGGTGGAGAGGATGCCATAGGACTCCATGGGGGCACCTCAGCATGCGGGGGTAGAGGTAGCAGGGTTGGGCTGAGGAGAGAGTCTGTAGATGGGGTGGGTGGTGTCTGGACAGCGGCAGGAGTTAGGCTGCGTTTGCCAGCATGCTCCCTGAGCATGGCGAGGCCAGGGTGTTTGTGGCTACTAAAATTATATTTCCCAGCAGGCATAGTGCACGTTGGCTTTTTGATGTCATGCGTTCGGTGCCTTGTCGGAATGCGGCAGGTTGGATTTTTTTTTTTTTCCCACTGAGAGAGGCCAGTGGCAGGGGCAAGTACACTCGGTTCGGATTGGACATGAGCCCTGCAGAATATGATGTGCTGGGGTGTCTTCATTGGCAGGTGGAGGTTGGTGTATGATGCCATCTGATGCTGTCTATGTATAGAGAATACGCTTTATTGAATAAAATACATATTTTCCGTTTTGACTCTTCCTGCTTCACCATTCCTCCTTATCTTCCCTCATGCTCTGATAGGTGTGTGGTTTCTTTTGGGCCCAAACCTGGAGCTGCCCAGTCTGTTGCCCATTGCTGCAGTGCCAGGACTCTGTATCAGCTGGTGCCAGATCCCTACACCTCTGCAGCTTCTGGCTCTTCTCATAGTCTCAGCTTTTATCCTTTTTAAACAGTCAGTTTGTGGTGGCACGGTTGTGTAGAGAACACTCCAAAGGGCCCAGTGTGCATCCAGTGCAGGGGCAGAACTTGGTCTCTCTCAACTGGGGGAGGTATCAACTGTACTGCCCAGTGCTGATACTGATTTCAGTGTCAGCCCTGGCAACTAGTTCATGCCACGGAACAATGGCAGTGTGATGTCTGTGCCTTGTCCTGGCACTGACAGAGGGCACTGCTCTGTCACCCTCAGGAAGGAGGAACCAGCCGTGTCCCTAGCATCTTCAGTGCCCCTGCCACAGGGGCTGAGCTGGGAGCCACACAGCTGTATACTGGCCCCCTGCAGTTCAGCATTCACAGCAGGTGGCTTGGCTTGGTGCTGGCCATGGGCACAGCGGGAGGGGAGCATCCGTGTGACCCCCGCCCAGCATCTTGGCCCAGGGTTCCTAGGCAAGAGTGCGAGGACTCTGAGCTGGGCAGCGCACAGGTGGGGAGGATGCCCTAGTACTCCATGGGGGCACCTCAGTGTGAGGGGGCAGGGGCAGTAGGGTTGGGCTGAGGGGAGAGTCTGTAGATGGAGTGGGTGGTGGCTGGACAGTGGCAGGAGTTAGGCTGCGTTTCCCAGCATGCTCCCTGAGCACGGCGAGGCCAGGGCATTTGCGGCTACTAAAACTACATTTCCCAGCGTGCGCTGCGCGCCCTTTTCTGCCTTCGTACGCAGCTCACGTCGGGTGCTGTGACGTCACGCGCTTGGTGCCTGTCGGAACCCTGCCGCTTGGATTTTTTTTTCCCCGAGAAAGGAAGGTGGGAGGCGCGAGCCCCAGGTTAGGATTGGACGCGAGCCCTGCAGGTAGCCGCGTGCGCGCGCCCGCCCCCTCCTCATGCCGCCGGAGTGGGGACCGTTGGGGATAGAACGTTGGGCGCCAGCGACCGTTGGCGGCTCGTGTGGGGGCAGAAATGGCGGGAAAAGCGGCTGCTTGCCTCCCCACCAACCTTATTAACCTGCCTCTTTCGCAGCCGCTCCCAGTCCACCGCCCGCCTGGCCGGGGCCGAGCGCGTCGGCTAGGCGGGTAGTCTCCCCTTCCCGTCTGTGGCTGGCGCGCAGGCTGCCTTGCCCGGGTGAGGCCCACAGCCCCAGGCGCCGTTTGTGCGCTAGCTCAGCTGGGCCTCTGACCTCTGTGCCCTTCTCTGCCCGCAGCTGGAGCCACCATGGTGAAGGGGCACTGAGAGATCCCCAGAGCGACTGACGTGCCAGTCAGGCCTTGTGTCTGTCTGGTCTGCAGCAGCGGCTCCCCCCAGCCACCATGATGCAGCGCCCCATCACGTAAGTGCTGCCCCGTGCAGGCTGGGCGCCTCAGAGCCCTTCACTGTCCCGTTCTGGACTGGAGTGATGGAAGAGCAAGTGATGGGGAAAGGCCGCCTGTTCTTGTGTCTCCTTCCCTATGTCAACAGAGCCTGCCTGTGCTGTGGCTGTTCCCCTGCCCCAGCAACATATCTCAGACCCCTGGGGCCAGGCTGGCTGATGCAGGAGGGCATAGGCCCTGCCTACACTGTTTGGTGCATTGCCTTTCAGAGATGAGGCCAGTCCTTGGTCTCGTGGCCTGTCTCTCTTGTTAGCCTGTACTCAGTGCTGTGGGCATGAATGCCCATGTGTGTCAGGCCTGCCCTGCAGAGACTTGCTGCCCCACAGAGCTCTGGCCACACTTGCCCCCATGCAAGATAAGAAAACAGCTTGCAGCTAAATGAAGCTTGGACAAGAGCTGCTTCTGTACCTGTGGGGTGATGCTGCAGCTATTCTGGGTATTGCTGGAGCACTCGAGACTCCTCAGTTGGACTCCCCAATGCCATCAGAGAACTTTGGGGCTGTAGCTGCCAATGCAAGGCTTGCTCTTGTTGTACTTTAGCTTGTTGCCTGGATGACTGACTATATCAAGTGACTGGAAGGACCCTTGATGGGTCCCTATGCTGTGCCAAAGGGTTCTCCTTTCCACAAGCATCTGTCTAGTTTGCCCGTGCAGGGGTATTAGATAGGCATTTGTTTGCTGTTCTGGGCAGGTCATTTTTCCAGCCCATGAAAGGGACAAAGGCTGAAAAGGAGACGGAGAAGATCAGACTACCAGCAGAGGAGGACTCAACCGACCAGTGTGTTACTGTCAGGTTTTGGGGCTCCATTATGCACCATTATGGGGGGTGTTGAGGTGAGCCATCCTCTGACCCACAGCTTTGTTGCAGAGTATCAGAGGCAGCCACAGTGCAGAGAAATGGCCTGAGCCTCCATGTGGACTCCCCAGTGAAATCTGCCAAGAGGCCCCTGCGCCGATTCTTGGAGAGTGACAGTGATGAGGAAGTGGTCATGGAGGAAGCTCAAGCAGAGAAGGAGCCCAAGCAGGACAAAAGCCCCAAGAAAACCAGCAATAAGCAGGTATCCTCTGCACTCCATACCCCTCCCCTGGAACCCACATGGATCCAGCCTGGGATCCTGCCTCCCCCAGCACCAACTGGAGTATAGGCTAACCCATGATGCCCTTCACTTTGCCAGCACCTGCCCACTGCCTTCTCCATATCTTGCCTTAGCTCCCTTCACTCTAGCCAGGCTCTGGACTCTCTTGTATGTGACTTCCAATGCTAGACTTTCAGGGTGTCTTCTGCAGGTGGTGAGAGAGATACATACAGTGCAGTGTTCTTTCTGCTGTGACAGAGACCTGCTGAAGAAGATTGTTCTGCCCCTTATATCTCTTAGGCCACCTTGGAACCCCTCCCCAACTTTCCTCCAGAGATCCTCTCTTAGGACCGTGTGTGGGCTTCTGCAGCTCCCACCATCTTGCACAGTGCTAGTGATACAGCTGAGTGGTATTTGGTTTGCGCTCTGTATCTCTGTGCTGCCTTCAGTACTCTTGGGGGGTTGTTTTTCAGGAGCATGTGCAAACTCCTCAGTCTGATCTCTCCATGGATAGTCCCTCGCCAAGCAGCAGCCACTCGGCTGGAGATAGCCCAGCACTTTCTGACTCCCCTGCTGTTGGCAATGCTGACATCCCCAAACGCAGAACAGGTAAGGACTCTACCTGGATGTGACTATGTCCTCACTCTCTACCACTTGGAAAGAGTTCCCAAGGACCTATACCTGCACCCTCCCACAGTCCATGGTTCAGCTCACTTTAGGATGGATCACTAGGCTACCCTGCCCTTATTTCCACTGTCAAGGAGGAGCCTGCTGTCTTAGGTCCAATGCAGTCGGGCAGAAGAACAGCATGCCAGTTATAGCTGACTCCCTGGTTCTTCTCCTCAGGGCTCTGGAGAGTCACAGGAGACAGGCTGGGACCCATGGATCACTGATCCCATCGGACAGGACTAGTGAGCTTGGGCTGGGGCTCTGCCTTATCACTCAGCCTGACTCCACACCAGCAGGGAGTTGTGCCTGCATTCTCCCTAAGTGGCCTCTAGGGTTCTCTATTTTGTTGACCTGAGTAGCCCCTTTTGTTTTCTTATTCCTCTTTGTGGTTCAGCAAGGGCATTGATGCTAGGCTCTCAGTTCTCCAGCCACTGCTTTTTTTGGACAGAGACATGCATTTCTCTTCCCCTGACCAAGGTTTTTCCAGACTGCACATGATCCTTGCCTGCCTTGAATTATTCCCAGCAAATCAATCTAACCTGAATCTTTGTTTTGCTTGCTTTTTGAAGACTATGAACAAGGGAGATGTTTCAGATTTTGGTGCGGGGGGGAGGGAAGAGAGTGAGAACATGAAGGCGGGGCAGGCTGAGGATAGCCGGTTCTGTAGTGTTACTGAGCCCTGTACAAGTCAAGCAGGAAATTTGGGAGGGAGGCAATTGCATTTGTCCTTCCCCACTCCCCAACACACACACGTGACCTCTTTCTAGAGCCGTGGTCACCTACCAGTTGATCGTGAGGCAGTGTTCCCAGCCCCCCACTTACTCCCCACCACCTCCAACAAGGAGCCCGTGCTGGCGCTACAGCCTCCCACAAAAATAGTGCTAGCTCCAGCTTCGTGCGGCATGAGGGGGAAGTCCTGAGGTTGTGTGCCAGATCTGGCCTGGAGCCTCAGGACACCCCCCCTGTCTCCACGCCCACAACAGCGCATGTGCTTTCTTGTCTTCACTTCCTTCCCCATGTTCCAGGAAGACGGTGAGGGGGTAGTTAAGATGGTGCTGCACAATTTGGAGTGGCTGGAGTTCATAAAGGACCACACATGCGCTTCTTCCAGCGCTGTATGCAGATCCTACCCCAGAGATCCTCATCCCTGGAGACCCCCAGGAACAGGCCGAGCTGCCCCTGCCCCTTCTCTGGCCAGACCGCCACCAGCACTGTGCTCCCTGGCCAGACCTCCCACCAGCATCCTACTCCTGTCCCCTCCCTCCTGGCCAGACACCTACCCCAGCTTGATTTTTGTGCCCAATTTTCCACCCAGATTCTGCATCCCAATCCCACTCACTGGGAACCCTGTCCCACACACTGGATCCCTCATTTTTGGCCCTAGCTCAGAGAGTAGAGGGGCCCACAAAATCCACTAACCCTGGAACCTCAGAAGAGTTAATCTGACCTGAGGTTTTGAACCTCAGTCCTACTTATCCTCCCCAGGGGGCTAGAGTGCCAGGGGAGTGAAGTGTCTCCGTTGGGGCCACATCAGTGAGGCTTGGGTTTTTTTGAGGGATTTTTTTTTTCATCTCACTTGTGTGATCCCTGACTGATTTTTTTTCTGTGGGTCAGTGGCCCCTGACCCAAAACAGGTTCTCTGCCCTTCCCATAAATAAAAATAATACTGAAATGTTTTGTGTTGGACATAATATTTTATTTAAAAAAGAAGCCTGGCCAACAAGCCCCCAACTGGGGCCAAGCCTGCGTCTGGCCACAGCATCATAACACTCCTGCACCCCCCAGCCCTGAGGCCATCACACATCTGAACCCTCTGCTCTGAGCCCTTCACCTTCCCAAACTCCTGCACCACCCATCTCCCCAGTCTTGTGCCACAAGACTCCTATACCATCCACACACTGCAAACCTGTGCCCTGAGCCCATCATACACCCAGCACCTCCTGCCCTTAATCCTTCATATACCCCAGCCCAAACTCCTGCACCCCTACATCCACAAGCCTGCGGCTTGTTCCAGCACCCCAACTTTCCACCTAACCTGACACACTCCAGCCTGGAGTCCCCTCTCTGAGCCAGCATCCCTTTCTCTACCTCCTTCTGCACTCATATTCCCTCCCAGAGCTTGCGCCTCTCACCCTTCCCTCATCCAAATCCTTCATTCCTATCCCAGAGCTCGCACCTCCTGTCTCAACCCAGTGAGAGTGAGTAAGGGCTGGGGACAGCAAATTATGGAGAGTTTGGGGCCTCAAGAAGTGGGGTCTTGGGGAGGGGATGGGGTAGATCTTGGCTTGCCTTGACATTTAAAAAGTGGTCTTGTGTGTAAAAAAGTTGGAGACCACTGTTCTAGTGCAACTAAGGCCTGGAAAAGTCTTACTTTTTTTGGCAGGTAACTTAGCAGTTAGTCTTTCCTAACGTCCAACCTAAACCTCCCTTGCTGCAGTTTAAGCTCATTGCTTCTTGTCCTTTCCTTGGAGGCCAAAGAGAATGATTTTTCTCCTCTTCCTTGAGACACCCTTTTAGATACCTGAAAACTGCTATCATGTCCCTTCTGTCTTCTCCTTTCCATACTAAACAGGCCCTTTAAATTCTTTCAGTCTTCCCTCATAGCTCATGTTCTCTAGACCCTTAATCATTCTTGTTGCCCTTCTCTGGATCTTCTCCAATTTCTCCACCTCTTTCTTGAAATGTGGTGCCCAGAACTGGACACAATACTCCAATTAAGGTCTTGTCAGCGCAGAGTAGAGCGGAAGAATGAGTTCTCATGTCTTGCTCACAACACTCCTGTTAATGCATCCCAAAATCATGTTTGCTTTTTTTGCAACAGCATCACACTGTTGACTCATGTTTAGCTTGTCGTCCATTATGACTCCTATATCCCTTTCTGCATTACTCCTTCTTAGACTGCCGCTTTCCATCCTGAATGTGTGAAATTGATTGTTCCTTCCTAAGTGGAGTATTTTGCATTTTTCCTAATTAAACTTTATCTTATTTACCTCAGAGTATTTATCAAATTTGTCCAGATCATTTTGAATTATGACCTTGTCCTCCAAAGCAATTGCAACCCCTCCCAGCTTGGTATTATCTGCACACTTATGAGCATACTCTCTATGCCAATATCTAAATCAGGGCTATTAAACTTTGGTAGCCCCAGGGGACACAGTGAAACTCACAAGCACATGCCAAGGGCCTCAACTTAAGTGTGGTTGCATATACATGCAAATAGCTTCTTTCACACTGACAGGCATGAATACAAAGATTAAGGCAAGAGTACAGACTATGCAGGCCCCATTTAAGTCAGTTCTGCTGATATTAATAAAATGCAATATTTACCAGATTTCCACCCATATGACATTATTTTTAATGAGTAATGACAGTCCAGGAATTTAACTACTAAAATGCATATAAACAGAAGACCATTATATTGACTAGCCATTGTGGAGCGTGTTTCCAGTGGAGGCCATGTTCAAAGGATCCCACCTGCGAGCCACCTGTAGACCCCCACATAAACCCAAACCACACCACGAGCTGCAAACAAACGGGCTGCAGGCCACGTGATGAGTAGCCCTGATCTAAATTGTTGATGAAGATATTGAACAGAACTGGTCCCAAAACAGACCCCTGCAGAACTCCGCTTGTTATGCCCTTCCAGCATGATTGTAAACTGTTAATAATTACTCTCTGAGAACCATTATCAAGCCAGTTATGTACCCACCTTATAATAGCCCCATCTAAGTTGTATTTGCCTAGTTTATTGAGAAAAAGATCATGCAAGACAATATCAAATGTCTTACTAAAATCTAGGTATACCACGTCCATCGCGTCTCCCTTATCCATAAGATCCGTTATCCTATCAAAGAAAGCTATCAGATTGGTTTGACATAATTTGTTCTTTACAAATCCATGCTGGCTGTTACCTATCACCTTATTATCTTCTAGGTGTTTGCAAATGAATTCCTTAATTACTTGCTCCATTATCTTTCCTGGCACAGAAGTTAATCTATCTGGTCTGTAGTTTCCTGGGTTGTTCTTATTTCCCTTTTTATAGATGGACACTGTATTTGCCCTTTTCCAGTCTTTTGGAATCTCTCCTGTCTTCCATGATAGCTAGAGGCTCAGATAACTTCTCTATCAGCTCCTTGAGTATTCTAGGATGCATTTCATCAGACCCTGGTGACTTGCAGACATCAGGCTTTTCTAAGTGATTTTTAACTTGTTCTTTTTTTATTTTATCTTCTAAACTTGCCCTCTTCCCACTAGCATTCACTGTTAGGCATTCCTTCATCATCAGACTTCTTGGTGAAGACCGAAAGAAAGAAGTCATTAAGCACCTCTACCATTTTCAAGTTTCCTGTTACTTCTTCTCCCTCCTCGCTGAGCAATGGCCTACCCTGTCCTTGGTCTTCCTCTTGCTTCTAATATATTTATAGAATGTCGTCTTGTTTCCCTTCATTTCTGTAGCTAGTTTGAGCTAGTTTTGTGCCTTTACCTTTCTAATCTTGCCCCCGCATACCTGTATTGTTTGCTTATATTCATCCTTTGTAATTTGTCCTAATTTCCACTTTTTATATGACTCCTTTTTGATTTTTAGATCATGCAAGATCTCCTGGTTAAGCCAAAGCAGCCTTTTGCCATACTTTCTATCTTTCCTACACAGTGGAATAGCTTGCTTTTTGGGCCTTTAATAATGTCCGTTTGAAAAACTGCCAACTTTCTTCAGCTGTTTTCCCCCTTAGTCTTGCTTCCCATGGGACCTTATGTACCAGCTCTCTGAGTACCAAAATATGCCTTCCTTCTGCCCCCAAATCATTCAGACTTCAGTGTTCACGAGGGTCCTGATCTTGCGTGCCTACCTGTTCTCATTCTCAGAGGGGCTGATCACCCAAACTCCACTGAAGTCAGCTGGATAATTGGCTTTAGGTGCCCTGCATGATGCTCAGAGGGGTCTCTGGATAAGTTTGGCCTCATTGGGTGCTAAACGTCACTGTGCTGGCCTTGGCTTGCTCTCTGTAACCCTGTGTTACTCTTGTACCTCGGCACCTGTGCACCTCTGGACTCCACACACCCCTTTTTCCTATAGGTTGTCCTGGTCTAAGGGCTCAGAGCTGACTCCAGAGACCCTTTCTAGTATCTTACAAGAGACTGATTCTAATCTCTACTCCTCAGCTCGCAAACAGATCCCCAAACGCAAAATGGAGCTGACAATCAGTAGAGAGAACAACAGCCATGAGGAGCCAACTGCCAAGAGATGGCGAGAGCAACAAGGTGAGAGTGTGCCAGCAAATAGTCTGGGAATGCAGGATCTTGGACTTCCCTTCCCTGGGTATTTCCTGCTGCTTTCCAGAAGGTCCCGCTGCCAGTGATGCCCGGGAACTATCTTTCCTGGCTGCAGGTTCATTTGCATGACCTTTTCTTGGGGTCCTTGACCTGAATATACTCGTACACAGGAGCCTTTATTGCCTTACCATACCTGCAGCCAGGAGGTGGCAGCAGTAAACTTGCTGTGTGCATCTGGTAGAGTAGTGGATATCAACATTTCCTGACTACTCCTTTCAGGAGTATGATTTATCTTGCATAGCCCCAAGTTTCACCTCACTTATGACTTGCTTACAAAATCAGCCATAACTGAAGTACTATTCTTGGAAAATGGCTTGTTTTCTCATTTTTATCATATAATTATAAAATAAATCAATTGGAATATAAATACTGTACTTGTAGCTGTCTGTAGTGTATGGAGCTGTCTAAACAAGTTATTGTATGAAATTTTAGTTTGGACTGATGTGACTAGTACTTTTTATGTAGCCTGTTGTGAAACTAGCAACTGTATAGTTAAGTTGATGTACCCCATAGAGGACTTCTGCCTATCACCAGAGTATGCATATGCTTGGTTGAAAACCGCTGCAATAGAAGCCATTCTCTGGGATTGACTCTCACTCCTTATCCCCAGCTACATGGGTCAGTAGGATGCCAGAACATGTGGTCTCTGTGCCATATGTATCTGATTGGTTGTACATTTGTGTTCTGCTGCAGGTCCAGGAGATGAGGCAGGCAGGGGAGCAAAGAAAGAGAAAGATGTGGAAATGCAAGAGGTGAAAGATCAGCATTCTGAGATGGAAATGGCTGAAGATAATGGCACTTTGAAAGAGGTGGCTGTGAACAAGGGAGAAGACAGAGGTGAAGGGGGAATCCAGAAGCAGCCCGAACCACCCCAGACCACCAGAGCCATCTCCAGCTTCTTTGGTGAGTGTGGAGGAAGTGTAGCCACATGGTCTCAGAACCCCTAACATGGGGTGGGGGCTGGACTTGGTGAGCCAGTTTCCAGAATAAGGCATAATCATTCACTCCCTTGTCTGCCACTCTCAGCTTTGTGTCCAACACAGGACACAGTATAGCTGCAACAGAGCTTCCTCCCCTGTATATGAACTCGGCCTCTAGTACGTGGGGTCAAACTATCGCCAAATGAGCTCTTTGATCTGGAGTTTCCATATAGGAAATGACCTCAGGTTGTCTCCCACCCCCCTCTTCCCATACCCTATCTCTGCAGAGCAGGGGAGTGGAGACAGGGTTCAGGAGCAGGAGAGCTGCTGCAGTCTGAACAACCAACCTTCTGGTGTGTTAGTGCCTTAAAGAGACAGCATATGGTCAGACTCTCATAAACTTATCCAGCAGCCAATGCGCACATTGTTTGCATGTGTCTTATATGTACAGTTTGTCTCTCTCACACACTATGCATACACTCTGTCTCTGACACACTCACCACCCAATACATATTTGCGGTGGTGTTGTCACATGAGGGCGCTGTGATCCGGTTGATCAAGCCATATTCCAATGTGCATTTGGTTCAACATTCACAGAACGAAAGAGTCTTCCACAGTATCTTAAACATACCTTTAACAAGTTTTATTGCATGCAATTCAGGAGCAGTTTTAAAAGCTCTATATGTATATGTATATTTAGTACTAAGCAATTAAAACAGCATTAAAAGACATTAAAAGGTATCACAAGTATTAAAAGGTATTAAAAGCAATATTTAAATGGAATAATTAACAATCTACATCTAATCCTTAACCCAATTTAGCAGCCTAATTCTTAAATCAATTTAACACACACACACACACACACTCTCACACACACACACACACACTCACCCTCTGGAGCTGGCCAGACCCCATGTAATGTTGGTTAATTTGGTTGAGGTGGAAGTCCAATGTGCACGTCACCCCAATATGCCGAATCAATGGACTCCAACTTGTGGGGCAAAATGGTGTGGTATATATCCCCTCGGCAGGGGCCAGTCCAGTGGGATGCCATCCACTGGTTGCACACAGTCCAGGTGGTGTGATGGCCGTTAGTGATACCCCCTTCTTCTTACTGGTGTGTCCATGACCAATCCAGAAACACCCGGTTTTTGTACCACCCAAGTTTTCTTGTCTCACCACGAGTGAGAAACAATGGTCTGTCCTTGGTTAGATTCTTCCCTTGTTCTTTTTTCTTATCTGGAAATGCTGGAAACACTGCCTCAACATACATACACAGTTCTTTTATTTCACACAGTCCTTTTTCTTGAAGTTGTAAACAAGTTCACAATCCTCCAAGGCTCTTGTCTGGACCTCAGCATGGCCTCTCTTCAGTTCATTTACTGTTAATTCACTCATGCTAACTATTCACACTACCCATGATTCGTGACCGTGTTACTTCTTGGTACTTCATGCATATATATTCTCTGTAATATTATCCTTTCTAAATAGTGTTGTTTTAGTTTCTGGACTGGTCTGTGGTTTTCATAATTTTATTTCTCTTATGCTTACAGTTAACTTTTTGAGTCGTGAGTTTGAAAATGCCTAACCTGTCCTGGCTGGAGTAATTATTGCTATGGCAACTTTTTAAAATGTATATTATATTTAGGCTTTTTGTTTGCACTGATAGTGATCATCGACACATTACCTTGATTTTAGTGCAAGGTTTTGGGCATAACAAAATTAATGGATGGAAATTTAGAGGGAACTTTGGTCCTGGACAAGGGCAAGGAGTCATCCTGAACCCCGGGACCCCTCCCCCAGATTTATCCTGAAGCTGGGTGGATCTGGTGGTGGGTGTGGAGAACCAGTGCATGCAGGACCAGGAGAGAGGAGCCTAATGTTAAAGGTTCCCTGTCGGTGTCTGTTCTGCAGACAGGTGGGCCTGCTTTCCCTCAGTGAATAAAGTGCTGTGTGTTGGCCCTTTGAATCCCACACAGCCCCCAAGAAGGCGCCAGTGGAAAAGGAAGGAAAGGAAGATAAACATGCAGCAGTGGAGCCACCATCTGTCCCAACTAGCTCAACGACAGCAAGCAGTGATGGGAATGATGGCAGAGCTGGCAGGTAGGGAGCTGTGGCCATGGAGCATCTCCTTTACCTGGGGCTGTGCCCCACCCATGCAGTGGGAGCAGACACATTATTGGACAATACCTGTATGGAATGGCACTCCCTAGAAGGGGCAGTTGCCTTCTCCCTACTTCTGGCAATCATGACCCCTTTTGGGGACAGTATGAGGCAGCATCAAGTTAAGTGTCCCCCCCACCACCACTCTGCTACCCACAAAATACAATTCTTGCAAAGGCAACATGTCCCAACCAACACATGCTCTAGGCTGCGTCCGGGCCTGTGTGTGCACACAACTTTCTGTGACATAGCAGCTTCCCCCATGGGGGCATTGGCGCAGATGGGTGCCTATTTGATCCATGTGGTAATGGTGTCTATACCTACCCATGCTGGGTTCCCTCGCTGGAGATGCTAGTGCAAGTGAATTGTTGGAATACTCCCAATAACACCAGTGCAATGGAGCCTGTGTACTGGGCTTGATGACTTCCTGTCTCTCTGGCTTTGTGTTTCTTCCAGTTTCTCCAAGCTAGCTGTGCCAGTGGACCCCATGGAGTACAATCCTTCGAAGAGCAGCTACAATCCATTCCAGGATGCCTGCTGGGGGCATGGTCAGAGGTGAATAGTCCATGAAGAAGAGGGCAGTGCTCCCTTATGAAGCCTGCAAGCTCTGCTCCTTGTGGGGGTAGAAGAAATGTAACAGGAGATGCACACCAGAGTGCTTTTCCTGCCATCAGGGCTCTTTCCAAATCATAGTAGGGAAGTAAAATTCTGTTTAACTAGTTAAAGAATACATTTAACAAGTTAACTAGTTAACCAATTAAAGGGGGGTTGGGCAGGGGGTGACCTGGCCTGCCATGAGCAGGGGCTGCTCCAGTCCTGCATCAGCCTCTCTCTCTGATGGGCCTCAAGCAGCCCTCTGGCTGCAATACACAGGGAATTGCTCCAGCCCCTACTGGTTAACTGGAACTGGTAAGCATCACCCTTTAAGGATGATGCTTACTAGTAAATCCCTAAATCACAGATCTGTCCCCATTCTCCTTTGTGCCACATCTGGTCTCAGCAGAGTGCCTGTACTGGGAAGGGGAAGCACCGGACTGGGCCTAAAAAGCTGCAGGAGAAGTGATGGGACTTTGAAACGGGAAAGTACGAGGGCTTGTGTTCCATTGAGATTCATCTGTGAGATCTCCTAAAGCAGACAGATCTGCACTGTGAACCTTGGGTGTGGCACCTTAGTCTGATGGCCTGGCCTGATCCAAAGCTCTGAGTTTGTCACGCTTGCAGGTACAGCAAGCTCCTTGGGTAAAGGGATGGGATTGCTGAACTAGGTAATAGGCCTAGGAACATGCAGTGAGCTGACAGGAGGGCGGACAACAGAACCCTGGAATCCTGGTTCCCAGCTGCCTGAGTTCCAGCCACTAGACCCTCTGCTAGGGTCAAGAAAAGAACTTAGGAGTTGTGGCTCCATCCACACTGCTCTCCATACCAGTCCTAAATCATAGGGAGAGGGCATGTGCTGGGGTGCTGCTTTTGAGCAGGCTTGTGTGTGTGTCTCTCTGCAGGGTCCCCTACCTGGCTGTGGCTCGGACCTTTGAGCGGATCGAGGAGGTTTCTGCCCGGTAAGACCCCCACTGTGCTGCTTGTGTCTGGACTACTAGGCTGGGTTGGCAGTGGGTGACACTCTTCCACCATTCTGTGTATGTGTTCCAGACTGAAGAACATTGAGACCCTGAGCAACCTCTTCCGCTCAGTGATCGCCCTGTCGCCGTCCGACATCCTGCCCTGCATCTACCTCTGTCTTAACCGCCTGGGCCCTGCCTACAAGGGTCTGGAGCTGGGCATTGGCGAGACCATCCTCATGAAGGCTGTTGCACAGGCAACAGGTGCGCACCAAACAGCAGTCTCCTAGCTGTGCTATGGCCTTCAACCCTATTGACTGGGTATAGATTGTGCAGCTCCTCGGTGGGTTTCTGACCATACTGCAGCTTTCCATCTGCTTATAGGCATGATGGCACTGGCATAGGGTGTGCTCACTTTGACTTACCACAGTAGCCAATAGCGTACCTACCTGCCAAGATCCAACCCTGTCTCCCAGTAAGCATCCTCCTTCCCAGAGCACATGACGCCAGGTGCTGGTCTCTCTGTGTCTCCAGACTCAGTCTCCCTTTAGGGTACTAGGGCTGAGATTTTCCAATTAAGCACTGACACATGCACAGGCTGCACTGTGGTTGTAGTTGCACTGACTTGTATGTTGGGAGAGTTCCTGGTGTGTGTAATAGGTTGAGGGTGTGATAGCCTGGCTGGGAAATCCCTTCTGTTTTTGTAGTCTGAAGAGGCCAGACTGCAATTCTAAGGGGCTGCTCCCAGCATTGCCTGCCTGTGTCCTGCCATTGCCTGCTTTAGGCACATCCAGAGGGAAATAGTCCTCAGCATCCAGTTATGGAGAGATCAGGGCCCTAAACTTGACCTGGCCCTCCCTGGGGCCTGGGCATCCCCAGCTTGCACTGAGCAGCAGGCCTGCTCGTTGGGGAATAGCAGAGGGGTGGGGGAAGAAGGTCAGGCCAGTCATGTCCTGGGGGCATTGTGGTGTGGTGGGTTAGCTGCCAGCTTGGGAACCTCCCTTTCTCCTTGTTGCCTGCAGGCCGCCAGCTGGATCAGATCAAAGCCGAGGCCCAGGAAAAGGGGGATCTGGGCTTGGTAGCGGAGAGCAGCCGTAGCAACCAACGCACCATGTTCACGCCGCCCAAGCTGAGTGCTGCCGGGGTCTTCAGCAAGCTACAGGAGATTGCCAGGATGACAGGAAGTGCTGTGAGTGGGATTAGGCTGCCTGTGTAGGTGGAGCTGGTGAACTTGGGCCATTGTGACTTGACTTCATGTCCCTTTGGCAGGGCTATAGTCAGCTTTGCCTTGGACATGCAGAGCACTTATGCCTAGAGGGGCTGGCCTTCAGAAGGGGTGAAGTGCACCATGTGTGCCTGGACCTGCCAAAGACTCTTGTCTTGGGGAGGCATGGCTGCCTCCAGGCTGGCTCCTCCTTTCTACACCATGGTTCCTATGTTAGGGTGTTGTCCTGCAACCCATGTAATTAATGAGGAAAGGAGGCTCTATTTGTAATGCAGCCCTTTCCCAAGGGCCTAGCTACAGTGTGGACAAGATTGGCTTGGGGAGAAGATAGGCAAAGGGAATGGAGACCATGTGGGAGCAAAAGACAAGGCAGAGGTTGTAGCGATCAGCCAGGCTGGGGATGCTGTAGCACCCCCTGGCCCCATGTGTGTTTAGCCCAGGCTTGACTCAGTTGGGCTGTCTGTCCTTCCCCCTCCCCCACCAGTCAATGAACAAGAAGATTGACATCATCAAAGGGCTGTTTGTGGCCTGCCGGCACTCGGAAGCTCGCTACATCACTCGGTGAGTCATGCTGTCCCTCCTGCCTCCCAGGGCCTGGCAAGGCCACTGTCAGGTCACCATGCCATTGCTGCAGCCAGAGTTGCTCACCATGGCTCTGCCAGAATCTTCCAGCCGAGTCCTGAGCTCTCCACAGCTCTGCTGCTATCTCTGGGTCTCAATCTGCAGCAGGTTGTTGTCACAGCCCTGCACTCTACCCACCTGCAGCTCTGCCAGTGCTCCTCAGTCCCACTCACAACCTATTGCTATCCCAGCCTTGGAATCCCTGCCTCCCCCAGCTCTGCCGGTACCCTTCAGTCAGGACCTGCAGCCACCTGTTGTACCAGCTCTTCTGGCTCCCTCAATCCCCATGGTCATCCTACTGCTGTTCCAGCCCTTATCTCCCCTTCACCCCTCCTGCCAGCTCCATCAGTGCCCCTCAGACCTGAACCATAGCCCTGTGATGTCTCTTTCTTCTTCGCTTGTGTATTCCAGGTCCCTGGGTGGGAAGCTTAGGATTGGGCTGGCGGAGCAGTCAGTGCTGTCAGCCATTGCCCATGCTGTGTCTCTCACTCCCCCAGGACAAGGTGAGTTCATGGAGCAAGGTGTGGAGCTGGGTACCCTGGTAGGAGCTGTATGTGAATGGGAAGTGATGTATGCTTCTCTTGCAGCATTTCCCCCAGAGGTGCTGGATGCTGGCCAGGGCAAATCTGCAGAGGCACGCAAAGCCTGGCTGGAGGAGCAGACTCAGACCCTCAAACAGACTTTCTGGTGAGTGCCATCCTTACCCATACCAAGGTGGGGGCAGAGCCAGAGCCACAGCCACAGCCACATAGAGTTCTTTACACCAAGCCTTGCATCTGTGTCTGCAGGACTCCCCAGAGGTGGTGATAGGGACCCAGCATTGTGCTCTGGAGATGGCATGTAGGGTGAGCAGTGAGCCAGCCTGACTGTCCAGAGGCTCTGCTGCTCTTGGAGCATTGAGTAGGTCAGCATGGCCTTGCTTGGGGAGCTAGTCTGTATCTCCAGCACTGTTGGTGTGAGGGCTGGGCAGGCTGTGGCAGGGCAATGTTCTCCTGTTTGTGAACAGGAGCAGCAAACAGGAGTTTTGAGAAGGAGTTTGGAAGGGGAGTGGGTAGGGGCCAAGGTACGCTTGCCATTCGTTATAGTTTAGTTTAAAGGTTTTAAATCAGGAAGTTTTGATTAACTAGAAACCCTATCAATAACCTAGGTAGCTGTAGGAGAGAATGCAGGCAGAAGCCCAGCAGCAGAGGGGGGGCTATCCTGTTTATTGCACTCAGTATAGCATGTATGATTACCTGCCCTGTGGGCAGGTGGCATATGTGTGCATTCGGTGCAAGGAGCTCCTGGCCCTCAGAGACCACGTACGGGCTTTGGAGGCCAGGGGGGCTGAACTGGAGGAGCTGAGGGAGGCAGAGAGATACGTAGATGAAGCCTTCCGAGATACTGTAGAAGTGTCCCACCTTCGGTCAAATAGCCCCAGTGCTGTTAAGGAGGATGAAAGGCTCAGGGAAGGAGAGCAGTCAGTGGGAGCAGAGGGAAACCTTCCCATAGCTGGGACCCTCCTTCCAGATGTTGGGGTATCCCCTCGCACTGAGGTTACCTCTCCAAGGAAGGGTATTCCAGTCAGTAGGAAAAGGAAGTTGTTATTAATGGGAGATTCGATCATTAGAAATGTAGATAGCTGGGTTTGCGATGACCGGGAGAACCATATGGTGACTTGCCTGCCTGGTGCGAAGGGTGTGGATCTCTTGAGGCATCTAGATAGACTTATGTGTAGTGATGAGGAGGAGCCGGTGGTCATGGTACATGTAGGTACCAATGACATAGGAAAGGGTAGCAGAGACGTCCTGGAGGCCAAATTTAGGCTGCTAGGAAAGAGACTAAAATCTAGGATCTCTATGGTGGCATTCGCAGAAATGCTTCCAGTTCCACATGCAGGGCCGGGTAGGCAGGCAGAGCTTCAGAGTCTCAATAGCTTTATAAGGAACTGGGGAAACTTTTGGGATGGGGGGAGCCTATACAGGAAGGATGGGCTCCACCTAAACCATAGTGGATCCTGATTGCTGGCACTTAACATTAAAAAGGTCACAGAGCAGTTTTTAAATTAAGAAATGGGGGGAAAGCCAATTGGTGTGGAGGAGCATGTGGATTGGACAGAGACGTTTCTTAGAGGAGAGACTATTGATAGAGATTCTCTAGGTTTTAGTCAGGAGGACAGGATGGATGAGGATAAAGTATGGGCCAGATCAGACAAAAAACATTCACATAAAAAAAGAATGACACATCAGAAAAGGGCAGACAACTAAACAGTGACAAATTTTTAAAGTGCTTGTACACAAATGCTAGAAGTCTAAAATAATAAGATGGGTGAACTAAAGTGCCTCATGTTAAAGGAGGATACTGACATAATAGACATCACAGAAACCTGATGGAGTGAGGACAATCAATGGGACACAGTTATTCCGGGGTACAAAATATATCGGAAGGACAGACCAGGTCGTGCAGGTGGGGGAGTGGCACTATATGTGAAAGACAATTTAGAATCAATTGAAGTAAAAATCTTAAATGAATCAACATGTTCCATAGAATCGCTATGGATAGTAATTCCCTGCTCTAATAAGAATATAACAGTAAGGATCTATTATCGACCACCTGACTAGGACAGTAGTAGTGACTATGAAATGCTAAGGGAGATTAGAGAGGCTATCAAAATAAAGAACTCAATAATAGTGGGGGATTTCAACTATTCCCATATTGACTGAGTATATGTCACCTCAGGACGAGATGCAAAGACAAAATTTATTGATACCTTAAACGATTGCTTCTTGGAGCAGCTGGTACAGGAACCCACAAGGGGAGAGGCAGTTCTCGATTTAGTCCTGAGTGTTGCACAGGATCTGGTCCAAGAGGTTACTATAACAGGACCGCATAGAAATAGAGACCATAATATAATAACATTTAACATTCCTGTGGTGGGAAGAACACCTCAGCAGCCCAACACTGTGGCATTTAATTTCAAAAAGGGGAACTATGCAAAAATGAGGAGGTTAGTTAAACAGAAACTAAAAGGTACAGTGACTAAAGTAAAATCCCTGCAAACTGCATGTAAATTTTTCAGACACCATAATAGAGGCCCCAAATTAAAAAACATAGAAGAACTAAAAAAGAGCCACCGAGGCTTAACAACCATGTAAAAGAATCAGTGAGAGATTAAAGGACATCTTTTAAAAAGTGGAAGTCAAAGCCCAGTGAGGTAAATAGAAAGGAACATAAACACTGCCAAATTAAGTGTAAAAATGTAATAAGAAAAGCCAAAAAGTAGTTTGAAGAACAGCTAGCCAAAAACTCAAAAGGTAATAAAATGTTTAAGTACATCAGAAGCAGGAAGCCTGCTAAACAACCAGTGGGGCCCCTGGACGATCGAGATCCAAATGGAGCACTTAAAGACGATAAAGTCATTGTGGAGAAACTAAATGACTTCTTTGCTTCAGTAAAAGCATTGCTGAGGATGTTAGGGAGATTCCCAAACCTGACCTGTCCTTTGTAGGTGACAAATCTGAGGACTTGACACAGATTGAAGCGTCATTAGAGGAGGTTTTGGAATTAATTGATAAACTTAACAGTAACAAGTCACCAGGACCAGATGGCATTCACCCAAGAGTTCTGAAAGAACTCAAATGTGAAATTGCAGAACTATTAACTATGGTTTGTAACCTATCCTTTAAATCAGCTTGTGGAATTAATTGATAAACTTAACAGTAACAAGTCACCAGGACCAGATGGCATTCACCCAAGAGTTCTGAAAGAACTCAAATGTGAAATTGCAGAACTATTAACTATGGTTTGTAACCTATCCTTTAAATCAGCTTGTGTACCGAACGATAGCTAATGTAATGCCAATATTTAAAAAGGGCTCTAGAGGCAATCCTGGCAATTACAGACCGGTAAGTCTAACATCAGTACCGGGCAAATTAGTTGAAACAATAGTAAAGAATAAAATTGTCAGACACATAGAGGAACATAATTTGTTGGGCAAAAGTCAACATGGTTTCTCTAAAGGGAAATCATGTCTTACTAATCTATTAGAGTTCTTTGAAGGGGTCAAAAAACGTGGACAAGGGGGATCCAGTAGATATAGTGTACAGGCAGTCCCTGGGTTACGTACAAGATAGGGACTGTAGGTTTGTTCTTAAGTTGAATCTGTATGTAAGTCGGAACTGGCGTCCAGATTCAGCCGCTGCTGAAACTGACCAGCGGCTG